CCCACCAACACTTCAAATCTTCCCCTCTTTAGCTTTGCCCCCACCCAACCGCAGAGACCTCCACAAAATCTACTGTGAAAGGCCTCACGCTCTCCTAGCAGTGGAGCAAAACCCTTTTGTGAGATGGCAATTCGTGCCTTCAAGTCTCGTGTTAACATCATCTGGGTACTGACCCGTTTACCCGTTTACCGTCTGTCCAGGGCTGGCATTAGGGCGGGACACTAAGAACACCCACTCGTGGAGGCACACAAGTGCCGGGCCCGTGTCTGGGTCCCCAAGACGGTGTGAGCCTATGGGGCTGGGGATAGTGTGTGTGCTGGACGCACCGTCAGTGCCAAGGACACTCTAGGTGCTCAATTCAGAATTAGTTTGTTGAGTTTGTGTTCTTCCAGCGGCTTGTCGACTGTACCTGGCAGAGCAAACACTGGGACGTGCGGATAAATCGAGTTCTCCCAGCCTTGGGGAGCCCAGACAGGCTGGGCTGGGGAGCTGGCAGCGGAGGGCTGAGGGGTGCCTCCTGCAAACTGTGGTCCTAGCTCAGCAAGCAAGGAGCAGGGCCTGCTTGAGGGAGCCCTTCTTGCCGTGCTCATTTATTCATGTAAGTTCTGGCTTCGGGGCTTGGGAATGCTGACTTGAGCGTGCGGATGGCAGGATGGGGTCCCACGGGCCTCGGTGTCCCTAGGAGATCAGGGGCTGGCCGGTAAGCAGGGATCTCGGAGCCAGGCTGCATCTATCCTGGTTCTCGCAGTCCCAGCATAGGGCCAGCCGGGCACGCAGAAGGTGCCCCAAATAAATACATTTGAACTGGCATCAAGAAGCCTGAGGAAGAGGAGCCCAGACAGTAGAGAGAGGCAGGCGATTAGCTCACTTGTCCATGGGGGATAGATGGTCTGCAATGAAACATATATGAAAAGAAACGTAGACTTTTCCATTCAAATTCAGAAGCCCAAGCTAAGCTAAAGAAGGGGACTTGCTCATAAAGGGCAGTAAATGAATGAGAGAAAACAAAGTCCAGAGGAGCCAACGACAGCATGCAGGAATAAAGTTCCTTTTCGGCACTTGTGCGTTCAGCACCACGAGAATCACAAGGGTCAAGTGTCTGTGAATCCCAGACTGAGGCGGTGTCGGGGGTACGGCTTCCCTCTGTTTGGGCTGAAGTTATGTAGCCCGGAGGACTCCAGGAACCAGTGACTCACGGTCACCAAGGAGAGTCAGTGACGCATCTGAGGAGGTTTCCCAAGAAGTGATGGAGGAAATCTCTTTCCTCCTCCACACCTGGAAAGGCCTCTGAAGACAGGGCTCTTTCTTTCCCTTTGACTGGGCGGTAGATTCGGATCAGCTCGGCAGCCCACACAGGGCTGGGGATCACGTTGTGAAAACAAGTTGCCCACTTCCTATAGGTAGAGACGCGAGCCGAGGGGGGCAGGGGTGGGGATGAGGAAGGATGAAAGGGCGGGGGTGGTATCGGAGCCCCCTCCATCCTTTGAACTTGTGCTGCTGGGTGCCACACCTGCAGGCTGGGTGCCCAGAATTCTCTACACTTGCTTCCCACTGAGAGGAAGGCTGGCCAAGGAGCCAGCCCAGTTCCCAGACCCTGCCATCTGCTAGCCTCACACCAAAACAGAGACACACGATCGCTGCCCCCACTGCAAAGGAGGGAACTGAGGCTCACAGAAGTTACAGCGCTTGCCCACGTTGGCACAGCTGGTGGACTCAGGCCCCCTGTCCTGCAGCCCCACATGCATCACATGATTTCCATGGAATTTTAAAAATCATCATTTATGAACAAATCTCTCATTGATGGATATTTAAGCAGATTCCAATTTTAAAAGTTTTTTTGATATTTATTTTTGAGAGAGAGAGAGCTCGAGCAGTAGAGGGGCAGAGAGAGGGAGACACAGACTCCGAAGCAGGCCCCAGGCTCTGAGTTGTCAGCACAGAGCCCGAAGTGGGGTTCAAACTCACAAACTGAGAGATCATGACCTGAGCTGAAGTCAGGGACTTAACCGACTGAGCCACCCAGATGCCCTTTCAATTTTTTAATATTACAATGATCAGAATCTCTTTTTAAAAAGAGGCTATGTTTTTCCCCCAAACCTTTTTACCCCCAATTATAGAATAAATGCACGATTGTTGTAAAAATTCACACAGCACAGAAATGTACAGTGCAGAGGCGGAAATTCTCCAGAGTGACTATCATTAATGACTTGGAGTACATCCTTCCAGACCTTTCTCCATGCATATACAAATATGTCCAGAGGCATTGATATCTATATTAGAGGAAAAAAAATCAAATTTGCAGAATAGTAAGGTTCCATTTTTTATATTACATTTTATAAGATTTTGATTTTCTGTTTAAAAGAAGTACATGCAGGAAAAATCTGGGAGAACAACAAACTTACAAATACCAATTTTACACATTTTTGCAATGTTCTGTACTTAGGTATTTAAGATATCTCTTTATCAAAGTATAATCTATATCTATTCCCATATGTATATATGAAGGCTGGCAGATCATACGTATTTAGCTCAGTGGCTTTCCATGAACCGAACACACCCATAAGAGCAGCTCCCAGATGGAGAAGCAGGACACGCCAGTCCCCAAACCTCATACTCCCTCCTACCAATCACCCCCACAATCATGGTAAACATATCCTGACTTCAACATGTATCTGCTTTGCCTGCTCTTATCTGTGCTTGAATTTTAACAGTGGCCATACATTGCAGTTAAAATGAGGATAGGGGTGTCTGAGTGGCTCAGCTGGTTGGGCACCGACTTCAGATTAGGTCATCATCTCGCGGTTGGTGGGTTCGAGCCCCGCATTGGTCTCCGTGCTGTCGGCACAGAGCCTGCTTCGGATCCTCTGTCTCCCTCTCTCTGCCCCTCCCCACCCTCTCTCTCTCAAAAAATAAAATAATAAAAACATTAGATAAAACGAGGATAGTCAATAGAGATGCTGTTTAAATATATGCTGAAGTAGTGGCCCTTGTTTGGTGCTAACGTATGTGGACCTAGCTCATCCCTGAACAGCTGCATTGAGTCCTTTGTATCAGAATCTATCTCACTGTCTTTTTCTTTTTCTTGTTTTTATTTATTTATTTTTGAGAAACAAAGACAGAAAAAGAGCGAGAGAGAGCGTGTGTAAGTAGGGGAGGGACAGAGGGAGAGGGCGAGAGAGTCCCAAGCAGGCACCGCACTGTAAGTGCAGGCAGACCTAGACACGGGGCTCCATCTCATGAACAGTGAGATCATGATCTGAGCTGAAATCAAGAGCCATGTGCTTAATCCACTGAGCCACCCAAGCGCCCCCTAACTCAATTTTTCTGATGGACATTTGGATTGTTTCCAATTTGGGGCTATAAGCAGGACTACAAAAAAAAAAGAAAAACCCAAAAAACAGTTTGCTGTGTACTTCTTTGTACATGTAGCTTTGAGATGTGTTTTTGAGATGTGTCTTTTTTTAAGATAATGCCTAGAGATGGAATTTGCGAATCCAAAGACAGCAAGGTTAAACAGTTTTTTGGTAAATACTTTTGCCGTAATGGCCTTCCCACAAAGTAGTAAATGCTCAGTTCCTTCTTCAAAACAAAAGACAGGTGCTGGGTGCAGACCTCTTCACCACAGCCCCTGCCCCTGCGGCTGGCAGCCAAGCCTTCTCCAGCTCTCTGGGCAGACCAAGTCGTAGCAGGTGTCTGCCGCACAGAAAAAAGACGGAGGTGCACCCCCCTCACCCCCCTTCCCCAGGCCCTAGTCCCCCAACCTCACCCCCTGCGAATTTGCAAACAACCAAACACAATTGCAAAGGCCGCAATGGGAGGATGCCGTAAATTAGCAGAGCCTGTAGTGGGACCAGAGGGCCTTGGGGCCTGTTCTGACTTCCTCTGCGGACTGGCTGTGAGCCTGCAGAGAAGGCAGGCCACACATCTGGGCTTTGGTCTCTTATTAAATAGGATGCCTTAGAGCAAGAAGCCCACCTTCAGTGTGAACCCTGGGGGAGTCTGGCCCAGGCTACCCTGGCCCCTGCCCCCCCCCCCCCCCCCCCCCCGCCCCCGGCCCTGGGAAGCAGCCTGTCCTGCTGTCCTCAGAGCTGATGGGCAGGGAGGGTTTGCTTCTCTCAAGCACCTCCTGTGGGGACACCCTTCTAACTCTCACCCACACCTAGGTCTGCGCCCTTTGCTCCACGGGCGGCGTCTGAGATTCTGCAGGAGGGCCACACGGCCCCCTCCCCTCAAGCCATCTCTCCTTTCCTGCTTTCTGTGGCTGCCAGAGGCCTCTGAGCAGAGCCCGGTTCGCCATCTCCCTTCCTCAGTTGCACCTCCCAGCTGCCAGGAAAAGCAGGTGGGGCTCTATTCTGTGGCCTGTGCATGTTAGGCTCAATAGCTCTCATGCCGCTAAAGCCCAGAGTGGGGGATCAAGATAAGATCCCTGGGCTTTTACAGAAGGCATGAGACCTTCATCTCAACTCCCTCTTAAAGCTCAGCCTCTTCTCCTTGCATTTTCTTTCCTTATCAAAGCTGAGAGACAGTTAAAAAAAAAAAAAAAAAAGGAAGGACATGAGGACAGAGACTCTTCTATTGTTTTTAGAGAGACAGAGAAAACAGGAGCAGGGGAGGGGCAGAAGGAGAAGGAGAGAAAGAATCTCAAGCAGAGTCCACACTCAGCTTGGAGCCTAATGCAGGGCTTGATTCCACGACCTTGGGATCATGACCTGAGCTGAAATCAACAATCTGATGCTCGACTGACTGAGCCACCCAGGAGCCCCTCACCTTCTCTTTACTATAAGGTCACCAGCCCGTGGCCAGGAGTCCCGGGGTTCCACTCTGTACGACTGAGCAGGTGCTAGTGAAGGTGGCTTGGAGTGGCCAGAGGAGTAGCCCCTGGGGCCCCTGCTGCCTGGCTCTGGGTGCTTCCCAACCTCTGAGGCTCTCTCAACGCCTACAACGCAGCGGGGGGCACATGAGGACAGGCACATTTTATCTTTGTTATTTCTTTTCGGGCTGAGCGTCAACATCTTTGCTGTACAGATGGGCTTTGTGCTTTTACATCACAGGAGCTGTTCGCATCTTTTATTCAGGATTTTATTTTTACAACCAAGACATTTTCATAAAAGGAATAGAAAGTGAGAGAAGAAATATACAAGCCATGGGAGAGCAGAAGTGAAAGCCGAAGCACTTCCTAATAGGAGGTTAAGTGACCTCCGGCTCCCAAACCACAAGTTCCCGCCCCAAACTCTAGCTTTCCCTGGAGACTGAAAATGATTTGGGAGATTGAATCAGCCCTTCACAGAAAGCACGTTTCCAAGCATGGTCTGGTCCCTGGGGCTCTCAGTGAGGACGGTGACCCCCGCCTGGGAAGTCTGAGGAGGAGCCACCCCGGCACCATCCCATGAGAGACTCGGGACTCCATGTCACTACCCTACCAGGGCAAAGTAACTTGCGAGAAGGTGGCCGGACGGCCAACACAAGGGTCCCAGCCCAGCGCAGGGTGAGGACAGGAGCTAGAAGTGGTGTTATGGCAGCACTTCTTACTCATTTGCAGGAAGTTGCAGGAAGTGTCCTGGGGCTCTGAAGCCTTCTCTCTGATTCCCGATGACCAACTCACAAGTTGCTCCCATGCGTGAGGCCCACAGAAAGAACTTGCAGTAGTTAAAAGCAGGCAACTTCAGCAGGTCAGTGAAATTTCCACAACTGAGTGAGTTGAGCGTGTCCCTTCTCTCTCATTTTTCCAGATCTCGCTCATTACTGACCATCGTATTTTTGTAGCAGGACACCAAAAGCATGTTTTCTGCTCATTTATAAAACCTGAAAACAAAAGCAAGTTGAGAAAACACTTCTTTTCAGGGAAATGATATGAATTTCCTGTAACAGAGACGAATGACATGGTGGGGGGGGTGGAATACAGGGTTCCACTCCCGGCAAGGAGCCCGGGGAGCTGCGAGTTCTCTGCTAGTATGTTTTCAGGGCCCATCTTAGGTATTAAAAAAAATTAAGAAGCTCAAAAAAACAAAAAAAAACAAAAAACAAAGCCCGAAGAACTCTAACTTTGAATAGTGTTACTTCCTGCAGTACCTTCTTAGATAAGCTGTTCACAAATGCACACTAAGGAGCCAGAAGAAGGTGGCTTGCTGATGGGAAGATTTTCCAGGGTCAGTTACAGGATGGGGAATGTCTGCCCTGAATCACACCTTGAGTTTGGAACAGCTGATCTGTGAGACCCATGGACTCTTTCGTCCATACCTGCATCATGGCAGCAAAACTAGAGGTGGTTTTCAAACTTTTTTGTAGCCACAAACCCTCTTGTTCAAATGATGTTTCACAGGTGAGCGTAAATACAGGCAGCCGATGACAGCAGTACTGTGAGCAGAGGGTGAGGGGGCTCATGGCCCCCCGGGACCATATCAGCTCCTTCCCCACCTCAGCGGATCCTCGGAACCCCTGGGGTTGTTGAAGCATGAGGTCCTACATCCAGCTCCCCTAAAACTGTCATCAGATCACTCAGGAACAACTTAAAATAAAGGAGTGGTGGGGGCAGTACCCTAATGGGGACTCATTCACCATTAGAAGTCACCTTGGGGAAGACGTTGAATGAACATTCTGCAGATCTAGGCTCAGACGAATACACTCAAGTTGTTGTCTCTTAGATAGGGGGTAATTTCTAAATCCAGCACATAAAATTGTGGAAATTGTACACAATCAAAATGATTGAAAATTGCCCATTAACTACAGCAGGCATGTTTAAGTGACTATCAAGCAACTATAGTCAAGCCGCTACAGGTACAAATATAATGTATATAATAATGTAGAGAATAGAATATAGAGTTTATATGGAGATTAAATTTTCAGGTATTTAGAGATACATTTTGTTCCTTGGTTGTTTGGCCTGTAGAGCTGACTTTCGCAAGGGACATGAGTTTGTGCTTTGATTCCATGGGACCAGGGGGTGAGCCCTTTATGGGTATGAACCCAGTAAGTCCTCACAACAGCCATGAGTTTGGTACTGTTATCCCATTTTACAGATGAGGAATCAGAGGCTCAGAGCAGTGAAGTGACGCCTACAGTCACACGGTTGGTGAATGGCAGAGGGGATGCAAACCCTCATGCTGGAGCCAGTATCATGATGGGCTTTCTTTTTTTCTGAACGCCTCTATATGGAGGGGCTCGTCATTAATGAGATAGGTAGATGAGAAGCAGTATTTTGAGGAAGAAAAAGCAATCCAAGAACACTGCCCATGACCCAGCTGAGGTCCAGAAGTCCCAGAGGTTGGGAGCAGCCTCTGGCCTCTCAGGGCCTCTGGGCTTCTGCTCGTGTTCACACAGCTCACTGGGCCTGAAGAGCAAGTGCTTTTTAGCCCCCCATGTGTATGTGACTCAGCCTTTTGATTTGCCACCTCCTGGGACCCGAGTGGGGTCTAGGATAGAAGATGGGACCCAGGCAGCCCAACACCAGCAGGGAAGAAAACAGTGAACGGTCTTCAAATCCAATTCTGCCGCTTACTATCCCAAATGCTTTGAGCAAGTCTTTCAACTGGTCTGTAAAGGTCATCCTCCTATGGCATGCAGGACCAAGTCAAATGAAATCATGGGTGGAAAAGAGTTTGAGGTTCCTACCATATTCTACGCTTGCAAGAGGTGACTGTGAACATTAGGAGAGCTAAGAGCTAAATCTTCCTGTGCTTCAAATTTGACTGAAACGGCTAACCAGTATTTTTGTTTGTTTAGATGCACTCTCTTCCTGAACTCTATCGCTCCATCTATTTATACAGTCTAAGATTTTTTTGAAGGCTGTGCCTGGCTTTGGCTCCCCGTGGGTGCAAGCAGCAGCAGCAGGGGCTGAGGAAGCCGGGACCACACCCAGGGACGCGTCATGGGTACTTTTCTGAGGCCCCAAGCACTTACTGTTTCAGGAGGCGAAGCCGGGCTCTCCTCTGCAGGCCTAGAAGAAACAAACAAGAATGCTAGTTGGCGTGGGCCGTGGGTCGCTGACATCGAGCCCCAGAGAGAGAGAAGGGAGACCAGAGGGGCAGCCAAGTGATCTAGTCTATACCCCTGTGAGCCACCCTCTCCAATTTTACAGAAGCCCAGAGAGGGTCAGTGCCCTGCTCTGGGAGGCACAGGTGAGCAGAAGGGCCAGGGGGAGAGCCCTGGGCTCCTGGGCAGCTGTGAGGGCCTCCCATGTAACTCCCCTCTTTCTTATGAAGCCTGGGAGCCCAGAGCAGATGATCTCATATCCAGAGGGGCTGAGAGAGGCAGTCATCTATGAATTTCCCTGCAGCCTCACAGAGAAGAAGTTCAAATTTCTGGGATCATGACCCAAAGCCCACTGCAATGTCTTCTGTGTACTGTTTCTACCCCGAGTGCTCATGGGAGTTCCTGCTTATCCCATGCCAGGCACTTTGGGCAGGACAAACCGCAACCCCGGAAGCCAGGTAATACTGTGACTCCTGGGTGGGGCAGCTGAGGCTCAGAGAGGTCAGGGCATGTGCCCAAGGTCACTAGATCCAAGAATAGTGGAGTTGGATTCAAACCCAGGTTTTTCTGACTCCAGAGAAAGGGTGGTCTCTGACCCCTCCAGGCTGGCCTCAGGCCAAGAAGCACCAACTACCATATGGGAAGGCGGGTGTAAACTTCCACCCAGCTGCCATCTGTCCTGCTTCCCTAGAGAAGGAAGGACCTCAGGGACACCTCCAACACCAAAAGGAGTTGCCATGGTGGCCCAAAAGGGTACAACTTACAGTGTAGGTGGATGGCCACACCCAAAGACACCAGCAGAACAAGGACTCCAGCCCCCAGCAGGCCGAGGGTGAGGAAGCCGCACGATGGGCCTGGAAAAGACACACGTATTGAGCATTTGAGACATGCAGAGAAATACAAAGAGGGGAAAGTCACATGGAAGCCCACCTCCCAGAGAATGCCACTGTTTGCACATTTTTCTCTCATCATTTTTTCCTGGTGCTTTGAACACATTGAGATAATTTTACATAGGAAATTTATATCCAGGGTTGCCCTGGTGGGTCAGTCAGTTAAGCATCTGATGAGTGATATTGGCTCAGGTCATGATCCCAGGGCTGTGGGATCGAGCCTCATCCCCTCCCCCTCAGGCTCCATGCTGAGAGAGTGGAGCCTGCTTAAGATTCTCATTCTCTCTCTCCCTCTCTCTCTCTCTCTCTCTCTACCCCTGCCCCGGCCCTTCTATCCTGCTTGCATGCTCTCTTTCTCTGTCCAAAAAATAAAACATTAAAAAAAAAAAAATATTATGTCCCACATCATCATTTTAAAAATTAATTAAACACATGAGCTACTTTTGTTCCAAAAAAGATAGATATATTTCATGTCTGGTAATGAGATTTTTACTATTTATTTTTAAAACTTTTATTTTAATTTCACAAGAAACAGCAGAATGTATTTTCACTGTAAAAGATTCAAGTGTATGGTTAGAGTGTTGTTTGGCAGGCTAGCTCCTTCACAGAAATAAATGCCATGGTTAATGTGGTACCTTTTTCTCTTTGTATTTACACAGACACATACAGTTTTTTAAAATGTTTTTTTAAATTTATTTTTTGAGAGAGAGCACAAGTGGGGGAGGGACAGTGAGAGAGGGGGACAAAGGACCCAAAGCGTGCTTTGCATTGACAGGCTGACAGCAGTGAGCTCAATGTGGGGCTCGAACCCTAGAACTGCTAGATCATGACCTGAGCCAAAGTCAGACACTCAACCAACAGAGCCACACCAGTGCCCCTACAGTTGTTTTTGCTGTTTTTTAAGCATACAGTGGCTTATACTGTACAAACTGTTTAAACGCAAACCATTCTTTCCTTAAATATATCAGCACAATCATTTTTCTAGTAACATTCAAGCAGTAACATTTAAAGTATGGACATAGCAGGGCACCTGGGTGGCTCAGTCGGTTGAGCGTCCGACTTCAGCTCAGGTCATGATCTTACAGTTCATGGGTTTGAGCCCCGTGTCGGCCTCTGTGCTGACAGCTAGTTCAGAGCCTGGAGCCTGTTTCAGATTCTGTGTCTCCTTCTCTCTCTGACCCTTGCCTGCTCACGCTGTCTCTCTCTCTCAGAAATAAATAAAACATTAAAAAAAACTTGAAGTATGGACATAGCATGTATTATTTAGCTATCAGTGGGCATTTTGTTTATTTCCTATGTCTTACTTTTACAAATAACTCTGCAAAGAACATCCTGGTACGTTTTTCCTAACGTGGGAGGCTGCCTGAGGCAGATATTGAAAACAGGAACTGCCAAACCATAGACTGTGTCCATTTAATGTTGTAACAGACACTGTGAAATATCTTCCAGAAAGCCGGCCCTGATTTTTTTCCTAACCACCAATCGTGCACCTTGCCGACCCTTGATATTTTCAGTGTTCAGTTTTTTGCCAGTCTAGTGGGTGAAAAATGGTATTTGTCAGCTTCAGCTTATTTTCATATAGTGGCCACTTGTATGACCTGGCCTGGCTTTCCTTGCCTTCCTTGGCTTTCAGAGTCTCCTGAAGTCTCAAGTCACCACATCGTTCCTGACACAGCAATTTAGAAATTGTCTCAGTGTCATCTCAAGGGACAGACCTAAGCCTTAGGGAGCACATCCTTCCCCAGGGTGGCCATATGTTTTCATTCATGATGACAAGTTTTGAGATCTATCTGGGTGCCCCCCAAGATGAGTGCTTTGTGTATAGCACCTATTTAATCATGCCTTCCCTTTAGCCAGGGAAACATCCCTATTTTACAGATGAGGAAACAGGTTCAGAGAGGCTGAATCACCTGCCCAAAGTCATACCGTATAGGCAGCGGTAGACAGAGACTCAGACCTAAACCCGGCTGACTTACTACTAAGGTAAACCATGGCCCCCACCCCCAATGCAACCTCCACTTACTTCTCCCTCCACTCCCACTTGGCCACTTTCACACACATTCTGGTTATTCTTAACAACCTGCTAATATTGGATTTGCATACTTGCCTTGGGATCTTACTGCTGCGACATAAGGAATGATGCAAGAACTTCAAAGACCTTTGTCCTCATCTCTTACAAAAGTGTTGTTTTACCGAATTCACTATTATTCAGCAGGCCTCACAGAACAATGAACAGAGCAGACTTTTTCTAGAATTTAACACTGAGGTGAAGGCTTTGAAGCCTGGAGCTTGGGGTTATTTCTTTCTATCACTGTGGGAAGCAGGGTTTACTCGCCAAGTTATTTGAAGTATTGCTTTTGGTTCAGCTGGCTTTGCTGTTTCCCTAGAGCCACGGCACAGACCCAATTTTGGCACCTTCGACTTAATGGGCCTGTTGTATTTGTCTTTTGTGTTTCTGCTGTTGTTGTTGTTGTTATTGTTGTTGTTGTAACTTGCCTGAAATCCTTTAGGCAAAGGCAAAGTTGTGGGGTGTGGATATTTTATAAAATGAGGTCAAACTATCTTCACCTTTATGTTCACCAAGACTTTGCCCTTCTGCATCTGGGTTCTGATTTTTTTTTTTTACTGTGACCTCATGGGGTAGCTTCCTGCTCCCATCCCCCCAATCCCATTAGATGCCTGTCCCCAGGCTCTTTCTGGTACTTTATGTGTGGAAGACAAAGCAGCCCCCGAGGCCTGAGGCAGCCCTAGTGCGGTGGTTAGCCATTTGTCCTATGTGTGGGGGACACTTTCTGTTTGTCACCAGTACCCTAGGGGAGCAGAGGTCAGTATTTTTCCAGAAACACATTTATGCATTTGGGCTAATGGTTCAAGGAAAGTATGTGTGTGTGTATGTGCGTGTGTGTGTGCTCCAGCTGCTATGTCTCGTGTTTATAGCACAGAGAAGCAAGTTAGCTCACTCATTAGCAAACATATATTAGCACATACTGTGCGTTAGGTCCTCTGTTAGGTATTCAAGCTGAAAAGCTTTAAAGTTCTGGTCCTGTGGGTTGGGTATTTTGGTTTGGAAACAGCCTTACGGAGATATACTTTACATAAAAAGTTCACCTGCTCCAAGTGTATAATTTAATGGTTTTGGGGGATATTCACAGAATCGTGCACCCATCAAGCATCACAATATAATTTTAGAACATTTTTATCTCACCTCCCCCAATTCTGTACCCATTTAAGCAATCTCCTCCATACCTTCCCGGCTCCCCTGTCTTAGGCAACCACTAATTTACTTTCTGTCTCTATGAAATGTCATATTCTGGACATTTCTTATCAACGGGATCACATAGTACATGGTCTTTTGTGTCTGGCTTCTTTTACTGTGTAACATTTTCAAGGTTCATCATATTGTAGCTTGTATCAGTGTTTCATTGTTTATTATGACCAAAAAATATTCCATTGTCTGGATATTCCATATTTGGTTAATCTATTGACCAGTTATTTCTACTTTTTTGGCAATTATGAATAATGGCTGCGAGGAACACTGGTGGGCAAGTTTTTGGGTGGACATATCCTCCGTTAAGTTTTGTTCCAAGATGATTTTCAAGCATGTTCCCCACTAGACTGTGAGCTGCTTGAAGGGCAGCGCTGTGGTCACAGTCAACTTCTTTTCTGATCCCAGCTTGGGTGGGGCCAGAGAAATAGGCTAGAGTCCACACATGGGAAGGGCTTGGGGAAGGGAGGGAAGGAAGGAAGGAAGGAAGGAAGGAAGGAAGGAAGGAAGGAAGGAAGGAAGGAAGGAAGGGAGGAGGGAGGGAGGGAGGAAAGGAAGGAAGGAACAAAGGAAGGAAGGGGAAAAATGAAGGAAGGAAGGAGGAAGGGAGAGGGAAAGGAAGAAGGGAGAGTGGGAAGGAAGGAGGAAAAGAAGGAAGACTTACTGCTCTGCTTCTGAGGGGCCAGGAGAATGGGAGAACTCACCCTTCTGAGTTACCAGGTTTGAGGGCCGACACACTTTCTTCTTGGAGGTGGGCTTCTTGGTGGGCTGGGCAGTGGTGGGAAGGACATCAACTACAGAAAGCAAGAAAGACACATGTGCTAGTCAGGTAAACAGCAGGTGGACTTGCAGACAAAAGTTAAAACCTCATTTCTTCCATCCAGGTACGAAAGCCCTTATGACTGTTCCCTGGGCTGCTACAGGGTTCCAAGGTTATAGAGCAATAGAATTTTCTATGTGCTTCCCCAACTCTCAGACCTATCTGAGAGCTGAGGCAGGGGGCGCTTTGGTGTCTGGGAAAGAGGGGTGCTCTGGACCCACATGGACTTGAACAGAGCCCCAGATGCCCTGATTAACCACTAAGTGACTTGGAGCAAGTCCTATCACTTTTCTGTGCCTCAGTTTCCCCATATGCTGAAATAAAGATGACTCCCAGTTCTTTCTTGGGGTTGTCATGAGAATTAAAGGGGACATCATGCCCAGTAAATGGTGCAGTAGAGATGGCTCCCCCTGGCCAAAGACCTTAAGCAGAAGCTGGAGTCCCTAAGCCCTCGCTCGACAAGACCAGCCCCTGAGCCAATCTGCCAATCCCTAAGTAGGTGGAGGAAGCTCACGGAAAGGAGGGGGGTGCCCTTTACAATACCTTTAACACCTGTACAATACCACGCAGGCTGCATATATAGCGGTTTTCTTTCCTTCTCAAGTGTCTTTACAAATCATATACTATCTGAGCTGGAAGGATGCTAGTCTCAACGTTTACCTTCAAAGACAAACACCAGTGATGTGAGGGACTGGCCCTGAGGCCCCATAATGCCAGGGACCTGCCTCCATCACCCCAATCTGTCACCTGACTCCTGGGTGGGTCACTCCTCCCTTTCGTTCTACTCCAGTGTCACATGCTGATGTGACGGGGCAGTGCAGTGGGACAGGCACAAAGTGAAGGAGACACCTGAGGCTCTGAGGTGCTAGGAACAGTGTGAGCACTGGGTGCTGTTGACCCCAGCCCTTGTCTCTGTGCATTGAGCAAAGATGTCTCACAAAAATGATCCTCTGCAAAATGGTAGGAGAGGGAAGATAATGACACCATAAATTTAAACTCAAGCATCCAGAGGACGGGGAGGAGCAGCCAACAAAATGGTCATTTCAGGGCTGACACTCTCCCAGTATCCAAAGAGTGGACACTTTGGACCCTCGCCAACCCAAGTCTCCTCTGGGAAGCAGGTATAATGCACTGTACCCTGCCTGCTTCCCGAGGTTTCTGGGAAGAACCAACCACCAAGAATGAACCTTTGCTAAGTCCTGCCATGTGCTAGTGACAGAGCCAAGCAGTTGAGCTTAAGCTTATTGAACCCAACAACTTTGGTGACAGGAGCTAGGATCCCCATCTTATCCTGAAGGAAGCCTGGGTGCAGAGAACGGAAATAGCTTGTCTGATGTTCAAGAAGCTTTAAACAGCATAGCCGGGATCTGAGCCAAGAGACCTTGATTCTAGGCTCTCACTGTGCCACACCACCTCAAGTGCAAATGCTTTCTGACAAAAAGTTAAGCCCATCAGGTCAAGACCCTTGGCCATCAGAATGCTGATGGAAACTAGCATAAAAGAAAAAAGGGACGTTAGCTATGGTGCTCCCAGAGCATGTGGGAGCCTGGCCTTCTGCTCAGAGTGACCCAGCATGGCTTTCTCCTTTACTCTTCATGGGCCTAGAGGTGTCTGCTCCCTTTATACATGAGAAGGCACAGACATCTCTCAGCAGGTCAGTGGGAAACCTTCAAGGGAGACAGCTCTATAGGATCTCGGTGTCTTGGCTAGGCTCAGTGGTCTGGGTTTGATGAGGGGTTTGTGGGAAGGTTTGTTGCATTTTAATTTCTTCTTGCCCAGAGCTGGGCCCCCTTGGTTCCTCCTGACTCCCCCAGCTCCCCTTTCAAATCTACCCGCTTCTTACCTCCTTGAATGGGACAGGCCTTTGAACCCATAGTGTGATTAAGGGGTCTCCAAAAGATCCTGTCCCCCCCAGATACTTTCTTTACTACCTGAGCTTCTTCCTTCAATATGCACTGACCTTTGTGGGAGGGGTGGGGTCTGGCTCTGGATACCCTGACTCTGGGGAGATGATGCAGTTGAGAGCACATACTTTGGGGAGGGTCAGCATGAGGGGTTTGGAAATATCAAAACCAGAAGTGGGTGGTTGGTGGTAGAGGGGAAACTTCCGGAAACCGTTTTTGCTTATTTCACCATCTACCTTTCTCAGACTCCCAAATCTCATGAGTGGGAACATGTGGGGCCGGTAGAGACAAAAACAAGAAACCTCACACCCCCAAAAGCCCCGTGTTCAATACAGGAATTAGTCGACTCCCTGCTGAGGATGCCTCAGCTTCTGGCCCTAGAGGTCTCACGGCTCCAATCCCTACTTTCTGGCTGAAGACCTGTCCCTTCTGGGTCAGAGGGGAGAGCAACCTCACCTTGTCTTTTGTCTTCCTAATCGTGCTGCTGTCAGCTGTCCCTGCATCTTCCTGTCTTCCCGTGCTGAGTGGTCTAATTCTTGGGGGCGGGGGGGGGGGGGGGGGGGCGCTGGTAGGAGGGGCGTGGCATTCTCAGTGCCCCCAGCCTGAGAAGAACCCAGGTGAGCAGGAAGCAGGACAGTGGGAGGACCACAGTGGGAGGGGGACGGGTGGAGGGTTGGCCGGCTGTGGGCTAACCTGGGAAGGGGGCTAAAGCCAGACCAGGCCTTTGAGGATTTCTGCCAAGACTCCCTCACACCTCTCACAGCTTAAGCCTCACCCTTCCATACTGCAGCCACCTGCCGCCTTGGCTACTGGCCAGCTTGACTCGAGGGTGTGCTATACGTGTAAAATGTTAAAAACACATCGAGCATTTAGTATGGAAAGGGAGTGTAAAATACTCCAGTAATAATTTTTATATTGATTATAAGTTAAAATGATGATACTGTGGGTAAACTGGGTTAAAAATATATTATGTAAGTTAATTCCACTTGTTTCTTTTTATTTTTTTAAACGTGGTATTCAAAATTTTAAAATTCTATCCCGTGGCATATATTTCTATTGAACATGCTGACTCAACTCACAGAACTATGGCTTCTCAGGGTGGGTGGGGTGAGGGGGTCATGGAGGCCAGCAGCAGCCTCATGACACAGATGGGAAAACTGAGCCCAAGGAGCAGATGGACTGGTGGAAAGGCTAGGCCTGGGGTCCAGTGTCCTTATGCCCCGTAACTCTGGGTGTGAGTTTGAGCCATAGGCCTCTGTTCAGAATGTGAGGTCATCTGCCCCTCCACTGGCCCTAAAATGCCTTCCCTGGGCATGTCCAGGCAGTGAGGACTTTTTTTCCTTGGGTGCACACTTGGTGGGAATTTCTGAGACCACTGTCAGGTCTGGGGACTCAGGTCAATCTAGGCACAGCCTCAGGTAGGCCTGACATGGCTGAAGGGCAGCACTGCCTTGTCTCCAGAAGAAGCAGCAATGCTTCCAGAAGAAGCAGCAATGCTTCTACGTATCCCGTCTGCAACAGGAATCAGTTACCTACCTCCTGGGGTGGATGGCAGCACGAAGTGAAATGACTACATGAAACACTTACATGAGCTTGGTCCTGGCTAAGTCTGTTCCCGCTAGCTGTCCTGCTATTGCTCATGGCTGGCACCCCCTCCTGCAGAGTGGGGGTCGCTGAGAGCGGGGGCAGCTCTAGGGCCTGGCATTCACCCAGCACACAGTAGGTGCTCTGTACTCATCGACGGCATTGAGCCACATTCTTACCCACACTCAGCCAAGTTCCCTTCCCGAAGGTCAGCTCGGGGGACCCAATGGTCATGCAGAAGTAGACGCCACTGTCTGCAGGCTTCACACTTGTGAGATTGAGAATGGACCGGGTTGCGTCCGGAAACACAGTTAGCTTCTTTTGCTCCACTTCCGGGTTATACACAGTCCCTTTTATGGGATTCCAGAAGGCCAGGTACTCATAGTGACTGTCTGGGCTTGGAGGCTGGCGCTGTCTCAGCCAGTAGATGCGTGTGCTGGTGGGGGAGGTTTTGGCTTCACAGGTCATTATCACCATTTCATTGGTCTGAACCGTTTTGGACCTGGGAGTCTGCTGGAGTCCCAAGCTGCCACGGAGAGCTACAGGAAGCAGAAGGAGCAGACACCATCAGCATGTTTTCCCAGCCACTGTTGTGGTCCTCGGAGTCACACTGAGTCAAGCATTGAAGGAGGGTCGTGGAAGAACCTGCCCAGTTGCAGGGTCCAGGGGCTGTATTAAATGCAGCTGGTGGCTCCTGGACTCAGGACTCACACACCCCAGCTCCCAGGAGACCATCTACAAGGCAGGTGTTTCCTATGTCCAGCTTTGCAAAGGGGATGGGGAGAGAGCTGCCATTTATTGATTGTGTGCCTATAAGTCTGGCTCTTCACATAAATTATCTTAATCCAAACTCAAACTTATTTAGGGATGTTTATCGCCATTACATGGATGAGGAAACTGAAGCATAAAGCTACTTGTTCCAAGTCCCATCAATAGCTTATAATGAATCAATACCTGTGATTCAAACTCAAAGATTCAAAGCCTAAAGCCAAAGCCTTTCACCTTGCCTTGCCATCACTCTATGTACAGACCTTCAACAGGCTCGAAGCAGGTACAGGGGACTCAGGTAGCCCAGGGGAACCCAGAATCAGAGGCAGAGAACAGCGCTGGGCTGGCCAACCACCCTTTCTGGACAGTGATGGAAACGAGCAAGGGGAATTCACTGGCTGCAATTATAGCCTATCACTTCTCAGTCCAGCAAGTGATAGGTTGCTGGATCCCCATTCCTGAGTAGAAGGACAGACACCCCAGAAGCAGCACTTGGATTTCATTTTAGTCTCAAGATGGGAAGCACCGACAAGTAGGGATTGCTCATGGAGAACCAGACCAGAACTCAGAGACCTGGCTTTGAACCCAGCTTCTGCGTCATTCCAGCTGTGGGTCTACAGGAAGTCAAAGAACCTGTCTCTGTCCTTTAAAAGGAGGGCACCTGGGGCCATTATCCTATTTGCCTGTGAGGGTTAGAATGTTCAAGAAAACATACCGTAAACTCTAAACCATTGAACACGGTAAATCATTGTCTACATGTCTCATCCATCAGAGGTTAATACTGGCAGCAGATGAACTCTTAGGAAAGATTTGAACAGGTCCTTCACAGCCAAGTCCAACAAACTGAATCTGATCTGGTAAGGCTTCCATTTTAGCTGTGGGGCAGAGGGAGACCCCACAGACCTAGGCAGAGACCCAGGAACAGTGAGGCACAGAAGGACACAGACTTGTGTGTGGGAGGCCAGAGGGAGTGTGTGTATGTATGTGCCCGAGGGGAGCTGGCCTACTGAGGTAATGGCCTAGAGTCACAATCCTGCTGAAGCTTGTGTCTCAGGCTTCATGGTTCTGTAGTGGGCCATGAACTTTAACTTTTTGACTCCACACATAGACCACTCTGAGCTTCTGCTTTGTATCAGGAATGAAATGGTAGGGGTGCCTTGTGGCTCAGTTGGTTAACCATCTGATTCCTGATTTTGGCTCAGGTCATGATCTCACAGTTCGTGAGTTCGAGTCCTGCACTGGGCTTTGTGCTGACAGCATGGAACCTGCTTGGGATTCTCTGTCTCTCCCTCTATCTCTGCCTCTTTATCTCTCTCTCTCTCAAAAAACAAAAACATTTTAAAAAAATAATTAAAAGGGGCGCCTAAGTGGCTCAGTCAGTTAAGCATCCGACTTCGGCTCAGGTCATGATCCCGCGGTTTGTGAGTTCGAGCCCTGCATCGGGCTCTGTGCTGACAGCTCAGAGCCTGGAGCCTGCTTCAGATTTTGTGTCTCCCCCTCTGTCTTCCCCTCCCATGCTCATGCTCTGTCTCTCTCATCTCTCAATAATAAATAAATGTTAAAAAAAAAAACCTAAAAAAAAAAAAAGAATGAAATGGTACCTGGGGCCCAAATGCCTGCTGACCCTTCTCTTTTCTTCCCAAACACCATACTGCTTTTTTAGCAGAGTAGAGGTTCTTCAGTGTTTTGGGGTCACTGACATCTTGGGGGAGATAATAAGAATCGATGATGCTGATATTTACTGAACTCTGCCCAGCATGGTGCATGCTTTATCTCACTTAATCCTCACCAGATCCTGTTTCATACCCATTTTACTCATGAGGAAACAGAGGTTCAGGAAAGTGAAGGACGTGCTCAAGGTCACACAGCCTGTATGTGGTGGATCCAGATTCAAACCCAGGTCTGGGACCAAAGAGCCTGAACTTTGAGCTACTCCCTGAATCAAGGAAACCTGTGAGCCTCTCCTGGATCACTGTTGTGTCGTTATGTGTACATAGTGGGTCTACACGTACACAGACACCCGAAGCTCTTCCAAGAAAGCCCAGAAGTGACCCCTAAAGCAATAAAGGGGCCTAAAAGGACCCCTGGCTTTTTGTGTATGTCACCCGTCCTGTGTCCTGACATGCAGACTTCCTGGCTGCAATATGCCCTGGTCTTTCTCTTATGTCCCTAGAGACTGAATGCTGAGCCCCATCGGTGTGCCAGACACAAAGCCAGGCCTCGCTACCCGTGCGGTCTCATCTGATTCACCTGACTTTCTCCCAGTGACCGCTTTCTCAGAGGGACCTGCTGTTTCTAAAATGATCAGCATTCACTACTAGTTTTGAACGGCCCTGACTAACGTCTGCTTGAGATGTGGCCAAGCTCATGGGTCAGAGCAGGGGGCTGGCAGGCCTTGCTTGTCACCATTAGCAGAGTGGCCAGCTTTGGGCATAAGAGAGCAATCGACCACAGGTCAGCAGGCCGTTTGGTGTGTGTGAAGAGGCTTCCAAAAAAACACATTTCCGGCTGGGTGTATGAGGGGGACAGTGGAGACTCCCTGCTACATTCTAGCTCCAGCAGGGCTCCTGATGGGAGCTGCACCCACAGCACACACAACCCAGGGCCTGGGTGTTGGGGTGGGATGGGGAACCCTGAGGGAGTACTCTGCCACAGCTGTCTGAGGACTGGCAGACTGTCCTACAAATACTTCCCCAGAGGTACTAAAAATGTGTCTGCAGAACCCTGGGTGAAATGTAGGATACCAAAGCCAGAACTGAGCCTCTGGAACCTTCTTGGGGGCACCTCCCTATGGAAACCCTAGACAAGGGCATTTTTCCTTTCACTCTGTACCTCCTTCTCCTTTCTCTTCCTTCTTGACTCCTGCCTTCCCTTCCCCTCCAGGCTTTTGGGCAGAGGTAGCCTCAATCCTGGGGCTCCAGGGGTCCCTGGGGTAATGAGCTCCCAGGATGAATTTTGTCTCCACACTCAGGGACTGTGCTGCCAGCCTCGGCTTTTGCATTCTACAGGGACAGCCTTTTCTAAACTCTACCACTCAGGCTCTTCCCGGGTCCCCGGCAGACCGCCCGCTCCCGCCCCGCGCCCCACAAATCTCCCGGTCTTACCTGCCAGCTGCGTGGCCAGGAGGAGCCAGAGCCCCGGCTGCATCTGCATCGTGGCGAGCCCGGGACACCTGGTCCCGGCGGGGCTCTGCGGAGACAGTCCTGGCTGAGGTGGGTGGGGAGCGGGACTGGGCGGGGCAGTTTGGATAGGGTGGAAAGGGGGAGGGGACGGAAAGGCCCGGGGCCGGGCGGGATAGAGGAGGGAGTCCAGTGTGAGGTTGCCAAGGTCTCCGCCCTCATCCTCCCGGCATTTCAAAGGGCTTGGGTGCGTTTCATAAGAGCTCACTGGGACCCCTTGCTTTCCAGTGAGGTGACACCAGTGTCCTGCGCCAAGCAGTTGCACGTGTGTGATCGACTCCTGCCCCTGGGAGATGGTCAGGACAGGGTCATGACTCCCTGTGACAGTTGAGGCAACTTGGAGAGGTCAGGATATTCAAGGGTCCCACGGAAGTGCAGGGTGGAGCTGGACCCTAATTCAGGCTTTTTTTTAAAACTTATTTTTGAGAAGCTCACTGGGGCCTAGAGTGACCAAAACCCAGGCCTTGCCCTCAAGGGCGCACACTTGTGAGGGAGGAAGGGCTGCTCCCACAACCCACCCAGAGGCCAGAGGCCCTCTCAATATTTTCCTTGTTCCCATGAGCAGTGTGAGGCTGAGCATACACAGTACAGACAGCCCTGCGGAGACTCCTTGCTAGTGTGAGCTGTTTTCTTTTTTTTCTTTTTTCTTTTTTTCCTAATTGAAGTGAAATTCACGCAACACAGAATCAAACACTGTAAAGTGTACAATCCAGTGTTCTTTCAGCACATTCACATTGTCGTGCAACTACCACCTCTATCTAGTTCCAAAATATTTTCATCTCCCAGAGAGAAATCCCTGTACCCATTATGTAGTCTTCTATTACCCCCTCCTCTGCCCGCCCCCCCCCCATCTTTACTTTGTCTTTATGAATGTACCTATTCTGGACATTTCATATAAACGGAATCATACAATATGTGGCCTTTTGTGTCTAGCTTCCTTCACTCAGTATAACATTTTTGAGGTTCATCCATGCCATGGCATGTATCAGTGCTTCAATCCTTTTTATAGATGAGTATTATGTTGTACGTGTATGAGACAGTTTGTTTAGAGATTCATCTATTAATGGACACTTGGTTGTTTCTCCTTTTGGTTATTGTGAATAAAGCTGCTACAAACATTCTTGTACAAATATATATTTGAGTGCTAGTTTTCAATTCTTTTGGGCATATACCTAGAAGTATACTTGCTGGGTCGCTTGGTAATTCTATGTTTAACTTTTGGGGGAACTGGCCAACTGTTTTCCATGAGAGCTGCACCATTTTATATTCCCACTAATAATGTATGAGGGTTCTATTTCCCACATCCTGGGGCGCCTGGGTGTCTCAATCAGTTAAGTGTCTGACTGCGGCTCAGGTCATGATCTTGCAGGTGGTGAGGTTGAGCCCCATGTCAGGATCTGTGCTGATAGCTCAGAGCCTGGAACCTGGTTCCAATTCTGTGACTCCCTCTCTCTCTGCCCCTCCTCTGCTCACGCTGTCTCTGTATCTCAAAAAATAAATAAACGTTTAAAAAAATTTTTTTTATTTCCTACATCCTCACCAACACTTGTCACTTTTTAAAAATATATATCCATCCTAGTCGCTGTGATGTGATATCTCATTGTGGTTTTGATTTGCATTTTCCTAATGATTAATGTTAGGCATCTTTTCATGTGCTTATTGGCCATTTGTGCTTCTTTGTTGTATATCCATTCAAATTCTTTACTGTTTTAAAAATTGGGTTTTTTTTTTTTTGTTACTGAGTTATAAAGGCTCTTTGTATATTTTTGGATACTAGACCCTTCTCCAATATATGATTTGCAAATATTTGTACTGTTGAAAATATTTGTACTGTTGGTTGTCTTTTCACTTTTAATATCCTTTGATGCACAGAACTTTTTAATTTTCAGGAAGTTCACTTTATGTGTTTTTCTTTTGTTGCTTATGCTTTTGGTATCATATCTCAGAATCCATTGCTAAAACCAAGGTCATAAATATTTGCCTTGATGTTTTCTCCTAATAGTTTTATGATTTTAGCTTTTATACCTCAGTTGTTGATCCATTTTGAGTTTGTTTTTTTATATGGTGTGAGGTGGGAATACAACTTCATTCTTTTGCATGTGGATATCAAGTTGTCTTGGCATCATTTATTCAAGAGACTCTTCCTTGCCCATTAAAGTCATTGTACTCTTGTTGAGGGTCAATTGACTATAAATGTATGGGCTTATTTCTAGATTCTCAGTTCTATTCCTCTGATCTATATGTCCATCTCAATGCCAGTAGCACACATCCCACTAGAGCAGTGGGATGGTAAATTTTATGCCAACTTGGCTAGGCCATTAATGCCCAGATATCTGATTATACTTTATTTCTGGGTGTGTCTGTGAGGTTGCTTCTGGATGAGATTTGTGTTTTTTGTTTTTTTCTGAGAGAGAGAGAGACACAGCATGAGCAGGGGAGGGTCAGAGAGAGAGGGAGACACAATCCGAAACAGGTTCCAGGCTCTGAGCTGGCTGTCAGCACAGAGCCTCACGCGGGGCTTGAACCCACAAACCGTGAGATCACAACCTGAGCCGAAATCAGATACTTAACCGACTGAGCCACCCAAGCACCCCTGCTTCTGGAAGAGATTTGAATTGGTGTACCAAGTAAAGTAGATGGCCCTTCCCAATATGGATGAACATCATCCAATTCACTGAGGGCCTGAATAAAATAAAAGGGCGGAAGAAAGTTAGATTTGTCTTCCCTCTGCTTGTCTGCCTGAGCTGGGACATCCGTCTTCTCTCACCCTCCACTCTCCTGGTTCCTCGGGCCTTTGAACTTGGACTGGAATCTATCTACATCATTGGCCTCCAGGCTCTTAGGCCTTCAAACAATACCATCAGCTTTCCTGGGTCTCCAACTTGCAGATTTGCAGTTCATGGAACTTCTCAGCCTCCATAATTGCATAAGCCAATACCATATAATAAATCTCTCTGTATATCTCCTATTGACTCTCTGGAGAATCCTGACTACTACATGTAACTTTGTAGTAAGTTTTAAAATCGAGAAGTATTGGGGTGCCTTGGTAGCTCAGTTGGTTGGGCATCTGACTTAGGCTCAGGTCATGATCTCGGGGTCCATGGGTCTGTGCTGACAGCTAGCTCAGAGCCTGGAGCCTGCCTCAGATTCTGCATCTCCCTCTCTCTCTCTTTGCCCTTCCTCCACTCACACTCTGTCTCTCTCTCAAAAGTAAATAACATTAAAATTTTTTTTTTAATTGGGAAGTATGAGTTGTCTAACTTTGTTATTCTTTTCAAATGTTGTTTTAACTATCTGAGGCCCATTATAATTTCCATATAAATTGGAAGATCATTTTTTCCATTTCTGCAAAAAATGCTGTTGGAATTTTGATGGAATTGCATTTAATTTGTAGATTGCTTTGTGTAGTATTGCCATCTTAAAAATATTAAATTTTCAATCAGAAGACAAACCATCCCAGTAATTTAAACAGAGAAAATTAAATATAAAATATTTTAAACAAATAAATGTTTTAATTACCAAAAGTGGGACAAGGAGAGTCTGAGGCAGGGACTGGCAAATTTTTTTTCTGTAAAGATCCAGGTAGTAAATATTTTTGGCTTTGCGAAATATTTATATATAATGATACAGGATGCAAATCTTCACAACCTTTGTCTTGATAAAATTAAAAATATAGGGGCGCCTGGGTGGCTCAGTCGGTTAAGCTTCCGACTTCGGCTCAAGTCATCATCTCAGTTCGTGGGTTCGAGCCCTACGTTGGGCTCTGTGCTGACAGCTCAGAGCCTGGAGCCTGCTTCAGATTCTGTGTCTCCCTCTCTTTCTGCCCCTCCCTTGCTCGTGCTCTATCTCTCTCTCTCTCTCAAAAATAAACATTAAAAAATTAAAAAGATATATAATAGTAAGTGAACAAAACTTTGGACTAAAATTCTTTAATGAGAAGAATGGGATCCATTTCGTGGAGATAACATTTTGCTTAGTTGGGCTTCAAATGTAAGAACCATTCTTAGATGGAGGGAAGCATGAAAACAGGCAGGGGGCTGAATTTGGCCCACAGGCTGCAGTTTGCCCACCCTTGACCCTTGAGGGAGATAGGCATGGAAGGAAGTGAGAAACTTGGAAGATGGACTCTTAACGTGACTGAGATTCAGACTCCGCAGAGAGAATGTGGAATGCGCAGGTGACGTAGCTCACCAGGGACAAAGAAATATGTCAGAAGTCATGGACTGCAACTAGATCAGACACTCAAAGGCAAGGACTTATTGCCAAAGGAAACTGGCAACCTTGGGAAAAAGAAAAGTTCCTCCTACTCCCAGTTTACAATGTCCCTCCAGCGCCCTCTATTGGCCAACACTAGCACCAGGCTCGCTGGCAAAGGAGATCAGTCTCCACCGTCCAGTTTCACAAAGAGGGGCAAAGAAGCTGTTTGGAGCTAAGAGGTAATAATTTGATAACTGACACAAATATTTTTCCCAATGTGTTTCTTGCCTTTAAAAAATATTTGTTTATTTAAAAGGTAATAGTCTTGGGGAATCTGGCTGGCTCTGCCTGTGGAGCATTCGGCACTTGATCATCAGGGTTGTAAGTTCGAGCTCCTCTTTGGGTGTAGAGATTACTTAAAAATAAAAAAAAATCTTGGGTCACCTGCGCGGCTCAGTCGGTTAAGTATCCGACTTTGGCTCAGGTCATAAACTCACTGTGAGTTTGGGCCCCACATCAGGCTCTGTGCTGAAGCTCAGAGCCTGGAGCCTGCTTCAGATTCTGTGTCTCCCTTTCTCTGCCCCTCCCCTGCTCCTGCTCTGTCTCTCTTTCTCTCTGTCTCAAAATAAACATTTAAAAAAATAAAGTAAAAATAAAAATCTTAAAAAAAAAAGGTAATAGTCTCAGATATTACAACATTCAAAATAGAAAGAAAGAAATGAACACTTTGAAAAGTTAGTCTACCTGCCACCTCTGTCCCCCACTCAGTTGGCTTTTGCCCCCA